ATATATATATATATATAATGACCCAGTGCATCCATAACTTACGGTAATTACGATACTATTTGCCAGGCACCTGAGGGGTCTAAATTGGGTTTGAGGTTGGCACTCTGTGCTGAAATCCTCCTTCGCAAGGATTTATGCATAGAGGTCACTTGTTTTGGGACAGCTGAGAACAGCTTGCACAACTACTGTCCCCTCACGACAGCTTGAGAAGGAGTGCTCTAGACCACCCAGATGATTGGTCCTCATTGATATAGTACTGTAAATAACTAAATGACCAGCTCTTCTCACCCTCATACTCTGAAACATCCCTGAACTACGAGGCACGCTACACCACTAGACCCTCAGAATGTCAGTTCGGTTAGTGAAAAACCGTTCACGAAAAAAATTACCAAGCTCGGCGAACAACCCGACCACCAAATGCGGTCAGTTAGGGATACCCAAAAAGAATGATTTTTAACTACTTCTGGATAGTTAGTAGCTATTTTTATGAGGCAATATCACCAGCCCCGTGGTGGGCTGGGCAGACCATCACGGTAATCACCAACACCATCATCCGTGCTCACTATTGGCCGAAGTACAATCATGATTTATTTCCGACTATTATTGCAATGAAAAGGATAAAAGTAGACGGGGAACGGACCGCAATCATTCCAGGGTGCCCAAACCCCTAGACACTCATTCCGTTAATCTGGATAGAGACTGACAACAAGAACGCCACGGACATCGATATCAGCGTCTCCCACCAGGCACAGTGGGGACCACGTGGTACCCATCATGGGAGACGAGTCGAGCCTACAACACCGAGATTACCGTAGTCTCTTTCATACACGTCTGTTAGGTCAGATATTGGCTACCTCTCTTCCTCCGCCACGCTGCATTGGGCTCAGAAAACTACTCTCTTCGACAAACAATGGTTCGGCTTGCGCAACACACGACCTAACAAACGCAGGTTCTGTTGCTGAACACATTCTTTGATGGAAGCCCCTGTTGCACACCAAAACACCCTCCCTCTAACTCCATTTGGTTCACCAGAGAATATTGCTGAAATGTAGTGACTGATGAATAGGTTAAATAATAACGACCATCACTCTATCAGGAACTCACAACATCAGGTCAGAAGGACCATCGCTGTACCATGATTACTTTGGTTCACGAGACCTCCTGAAATGCGCGTTAAGAATGTCTCCCCTTTAAGATTGCATTTCAAGGGCCAAGCCTGACTTTTCATTTTAGTATTTGGACTGTAGAATTACCGTTTTGGGGATAAATTTTCCACTTTACAATTAAGCTGATGTTTGCATAGGACTCAAAAGAATATCAGCTGAACCATTCAGCTTTAATAATATTTAGCTGACTGTGCTGCACAGCGGTTACTTCATGTCTTAGCTGGAACTGTATTAAAGATATCGAAATTTTTTGTTTGGAAAAAGCTACTCGCAGTTTTTGTTTAGACAAGGAGCCTGAAAGCCTACGGCTTTCTTGACGTAATATACCAATCTTAAGGCAGCTAAAAGCCCTCTATCTGAACCCGAATTGGACACATTTTTGGTTTTGACAGGGACTCAATTGAATCCAGCTGGATCTCTCGTTTGTGATGGTTTGATGATGACTCATGAACAAGCCATTACCCGTTTATTTTCATAAAGGAAGCTACTCATGAGATTGCTGAAAACTCTTCGACAGCCCACTACCGGCTCCGCCCTTCTTGGGGCTCATCAGGTAGAACGTAAGATTGACGGAGACTCAGGGACTGCGCCTACCTGATGAGCCCCAACAAGAGCCCCAACAACATCTCGAATATCGTGCCAACTGAAACTTGAGGTGGCCTTTGTGCGGCACATTCAGTTTTAGAGTATCATAAACGAGAGATTCAGTTGAGTCTCTCATGAAAACCAAATTGATTTGCAAACTAGTGTGCTGTAAGAGGGCTGGTCAGTTGAGATTCGGCTGAGTCCCCGTAAACATC